AGGTCACGCACGCCGCAGCACTTCCACCCGCCGGCAGCATGCAATGCATGTGTGGAGCCAAAAGCAGCCGGTCCCATTCGAAGCTTCCGAAGGCCCGGAGCTCGCAGCGCTGGCCGAGGTGGGACCCTGACGGATGCAGCCGCCTGGGGCAGGGGTGATCGGCCGGAGAACGGTGCGCACCAGCCAGGGCGGGCCGGGGCCCGAACCTCCGGAGAGAAGCGGGCCGCGTGGTGCCACCTCGCCAGGAGGGTGAAGCGCTGAGAACTGGCGGATGGTTGGGGGCACACCGCCCCCTGTGGCCGCACCACCACCACCTCCACCCTCAGGCCTGGGGTCGCAGCTGCTGCCGCTTCCGTCCAGCAGGACACGCGCTGTGGCCACCCCGTCCTCGCCCTCGGGGTAGTGGCCCTGGGGTGGAGGAAAAACCGAAGGGGGAAGAGAAACAGCAAACACAGTGCCTGCCCCCCACGGCTGCTTTCTCTCCCCCACTGCCTCTCCGGCCCCCCCACGCCCCCGCGGCCGCCACCGCTGACCCCGAGGAGGAATGAGCCGCATGTGAGTCAAAGGATGTGCGACCAGCGTGGAGACAGCTCTCCCTGCCGCACGTTGTAGACGGTTTACCGGAGAGGATGGGCGGGGAGTGGCTGTTTGGCGGGGGAGCGTGTTCCCATGTGTTTCCATGGGAATGAGTTCCGGAAGGCCCGTGGGCTCCCGCTGCTGGGCAGAGCAGGGGGCCGAGCCCCGCAGGTCCTTCCCGCCGGCCGGGCGCGGGGCCCTTCTGCCCGAGGACTCCGAGTTCCGTTCTGATGGCCCTTTGCCAGGCGGCCGCAGAGCGCGAGGGACTGCTGCTGGGGACTGAGACTGTGACGAGACGCTGCTGTCCGAGGGGCTAACTCACCCCGGGGGGGAGGGGCTTGGAGCGGGCAGCTGTGGCACGGGGTGGCCCGACCTGACGCCCCCGGCTCTTTGGACAGCCAGTGAATGGGCAGCATTCCCCGGCGGGGAGAAAAACTGCCCCCTGCTGGGGTGTTCTTTGTGGCAGAGAGGACGGGGGTGGCCCTGGGGGTAGTGGGGACCCCTAGACAGAGCGGTGGGCAGCCCTGGGGTGGGCAGCGGAGTGTGTGGGGCTGGAAGGGGAGAGAAGAAGCTACAGAGGGAGGTGGGGACTGCCCGTGGCTGGCCTGAGGGCTGGGCTAGAGTAGAAATGCCCATGCCCATGACCTGAGCTGCTCCTGAGCAGCGGGGCTCCAGAAAGGGTGGGGGGTGTGTGGATGTTGGTGGCCAGGTTTGCCCACTGCCTTCCCTCTGCCAGCACCTGGCTCTCAGAGGATGCACCTGCGTGCAGAGCACCTGTGACGTTGACTGGGCCCTTTGAAAAGAAGGAAACTACAGGGCTCTCTCCCTGCTAGTGTTTCTTGTTTTTTTGTTTGTTTGTTTGTTTGTTTTTTAGATTTTCTTTATTTTTTAGAGAGAGGGGAAGGGAAGGAGAAAGAGAGGGAGAAAAACATCCATGTGTGGTTGCCTCCCACACGCCCCCTACTGGGGACCTGGCCCACAACCCAGGCCTGTGCTGTGACTGGGAATCGAACCAGTAACTCTTTGGTTTGCAGGCACGCGCTCAATCCACTGAGCCACGCCAGCCAGGGCTCCCTGCTAGTGTTTTAGTGGATGCGATGCCCGATCGAGTGAGGAGGACCCGGTTCGCATCCTGACCTCATCGCTTACAGTTTCTGCAACCTTGGGCATTTAGTGGCCTGCACCTGGCTTTCCCGGTTTCCATGGGGGGAGGGTCTCAACGGGGCCCATGCGGCTTCCCAGAACAGAACGGCCATCCATGGCTCGGCTGGATTCAGCGCTCAGGGACGACTCTCTCCTGGAGACAGAGGAGCCTGCTCTGCTCTAGCCCAGCACTGCGGACACAGGAGGTGGGGGCCGGTAAACGTCTGTGGAGTAACAGAACCCAGGCAGGTGTGAGTGGCGAGTGAATGCCCACCCCCCCGCCCAGGGCCAGGCTCAGCCCTGCTCCCCGCTGCCTGGAGGGGCACCTCCCAACCCAGGTGACACCATGGCCCCCTCCGAGATCAGTGCTGGGGAAACCCTGAACGGCCGTGGTTCCCGGCCCGGGCTGCGACCCGGCTCTTCCCTGGCCGCCCGCAGAGGCTCAGACTTGGACCCGGTCAGGGGGCTGGTAAGACACAGTGTTTTTCCCGGACAGAGCGTGCTTGGCATTCTGACCTGCTCTCTGGCCTGAGCACTCGTGGTTCTGACGTGCAGTGGGACAGTGTTTGGCTTCGGCCTCCTCTGCTCGTGGCTGGAGCTGCTCTCCATGGGCGGGTGCCCAGGGCAGCGTAGGAGGGTTTTGTGAGTGCCTCCTCGCCCTGGACGTGTCCAGGCCGGGGCCGCTGCAGCCAGGAGACCCAGCAAAGTCAGGAGGTTCCCGGATCACCCTGCTCAGGGCTTGCTTCCCCTCCCCGCTGGCCTCTGGCCTGGAGACTGGCAGCGAAGAGCAGGGAGAGGCGAGGCTGTGCTCGGGGGGGGGCTGCGAGTCAGCCCCGACCCCCTCACTGGCCCCGCTGCCCCGGCCCGTCCCTCCACGGCTGCGACCCATGTGTGTGTCTCTAAAGGAGGTGACCCTGACCTCTCGGGGTTTCCTGGAGAGCGGATAACTCGCTGGACACGAGAAAGGGTCAGCCTGCGTGGGCTGTGGCGTGGGAAGGTGCAGGGCACTGTGCTGGGGAGCGGGCGGGTACCCCTTCATCCGGCGCTCGCAGCAGCCTGCAGGCCGACTTCACCGCGTGTGCGGGAGGGGCCCGGTGCCCAGGGCCCCCCTCCACCGTCGCCGCCCCTGCTGAGTGGTGAGCCGCGGGTCCAGGTTCCACTGTGTGGCCATCGAGTGCAGAGCGTGAGGACGGTCTTGTGTTTCTTCCTCTCTCTTCGCCACTGAGGGTTGGTGGTGCCGTCCCCCCATTGTATTCAGAGGGCAGGACGGGGGTGACTAGGGGCCCGGGGCCCAGAGCCCCTGTGCTGACCGGCCTGGGCCTCAGGCTGGCGGCGGCCACTCGGTCACTAAAGACAGGACAGAGTCCCATCCCCAGGGGACTGCTGTCGGGAGTGAGGGGCAGGTGTGTGCGGAGTGCTCAGCAGGAGGCCCGGCTCGAAGTGGAGGGAGGAAACCTGCGCAGTCACACTCACGAGTGCTGGGGAGGTGCTGGGCAATGGGGTTCGGGAGCTGCTGTGTATAAAAACTACAAGGAAATCAATAACGGGAGGAAAATACGTACAGACAGCAGTGGCTTCAAACACCAAGACCAAAAATGGTGCTCAGTGCCAGGCATCAGCCACAGGAAACGGGAGGGGACGCGTGGGCCTTGCCCCTCATCAGCTGAGCGGATGCCCCGACCTAGCGCTGCCTCTGGGTCCCCGTGGAGACACGGGCGCCGTCTCGCCGCGCGTTGGAGGAGCCGCCGCCCGTGGGCAGTGGGGTCACTCAGAGTGTGTCTGTGTTTTCGAGCAGAGCTTCCCTGTCCAAGGAGGACGAGACCGGGCGAGGGGCCCGCCTCCCGGCCATCCAGGAACCAGGGGACGCTGCCAGAGCAGGGGGCGGGGGCAGCAAAGGGGGGTCTTGTGGACGTGGGGTGGCTCCGGGGCCGAGGGGAGCTTCCATCAGAGGAGCTGGGCAGGGTGCACACAGTCAGGCCGTGGTGAGCTGGGGTCCCCAGGAGGCAGGCTCCGGGTGACCGGCACGCCCAGGCGCCCTCTGCTGGAGCTGCTGGGGTTCACGGTCTCTTCGCCCGCCTCGGAGACGAACCCAAACCGAGTTAGGACGGCGTCTTCTCCGCCGCCTTCTCCGCGCACTGCCCACCCGCCTCCCCGCTGCGCCTGGGGACAAAGGCGCCTGCCGACCGACCCCTGGGCCCCGTTCACACCCCTCCATCCACCCCTCGGCTCCGAGACCCCGTTTCTGGTGCCCGCCAGCCTCAGCCTTCCCGCCCCGCAGGGCGCGTCCGGCCCCTCGCCCCACTGTCCCGTGTGAGCGTGCCGCGGGCACCCCGCGTGGTCACAGCTGGCACTCACTACGCGCCGGGCTCTGCGGGAGGGGACCCCGGGACAAAAGGACAGCTGCTCGGAGCCGGACTCCGGACGCACCAGCCTCACCTGGGCGCGGCAGCCGCCGCAGCCGGCAAAATCCCTCCTCCCAGTTCCCCGGGGCGTCCAGCGTCCCGTCTGCCCGTGTGCGAGCGTGTACCGTCTCTCTTAATGGTGCTAACCGGCACACGCGTGCACTGCCGTCGCTTGAGATTTCTTATGAGACAGACACATCAGAGGTGGAAAGCGTCGTACACACCCAACCCGTCACCGCCAGCCCCCTCCCACCCCGAGAGCTCGACTCTCTGTGCCATTTAATTCTCGGCAGCTCGGGGACGCGGGTGCTGTGGTGGTTCTGATCTTCCGGCCGAGGAGCTGGCGGCTTGGCCGTGTCGGCTGTCCCGAGGGGACTCTGCTCCTGGGGGTCGTGAGCTTTCACGGAGACAACACACTCTGTGCCTCGTGCAGCGCGGGGTCCGGCTCCCCGCCCCGGGGGCTGGGAGGGGCTTTGTGCAGTTTCCGGGGCGGGCCCGGGGTTCCGCTCCCCTCCGTCCCAGCACTGCCCGCAGACTGCAGCCTGGGAGCCTCCAAGGTCTGTCACCGCCCCCCCAGCCCCCTGCCCGCCCCCCCCCCCGGGACCCTGGCAGCATCTCCTAAACGTGGAAGGTTCTCAGCTCAGAAGGTTACTCAGAAAACACCTGTGTCGCTTCCCGCCCCTGTCCCCACGTCTCCTCCTGTTTCTCCTCTGTGGGGCCGGATGAGAAAAGTGCCAGGGTCAGCTGGTCCCCTCCCCGGACGGACCCCCAGAGTGGGGGGCAGGGCCGGGAGCGTCCATCCTCGAGAAGGAGGCAGAGCGAGGTGGGCCCCGGCCTGCGAGGGGAAGTCCGTCCCGTCGGTAATTACCCCCTCTCTCCCCACAGGGGCTGAACTGCCGAGTCAAGAACAGTAAGTGGCCTTTTTTGCCCTTGTTGCTGCTTCTTTGATCATAAAGCGGGACCTTGTGCTGACCTCTGATGGGCGAGGGCCGCACCTCCAGCAGGAGGCGCCCTGGAGAAGTGTGCGCACGCACGCATGCGCACTTCCGCTTCCTGGGAGGACGCGCATCGCTCCGGCCTCTGCGCTCAGGGCTGAACCCTGGGTGCTGCTCCGCGTGCCGGTCGCCCCCCTGTAGAGGAAGTCACATCTGTGCCGTGGATTTTGTTCTGTGTTGTTGTTTTTTAAGATTTTATTTATTTTTAGACAGGGGAAGAGAGGAAGAAAGAGAGGGAGAGAAACATCCCTGTGTGGTTGTCTCTCAAGCGCCCCCTACTGGGGACCTGGCCCTCAACCCAGGCATGCGCCCTGACCGGAAATCGAACCGGTGACCCTTTGGTTCTCAGGCCAGTGGCACTCAGTCCACTGAGACACACCAGCCAGGGCTGTTCTGTGTTCTAATTCAGGAAGGAGGCACACATTGCAAGTGTCTGTGCTAATGAGGGACCCTGGCGTATAAAACTAAAGCAACTCTGATCTGTGCCCCGTGCTCCCTCAGCCCCATCTCCAAGCACTGCTCCATCTCTCCACCCCGCCTGTGCTCTGTGCTCTCCCTTGGGGTCCCCTGTAGGCTCCAGAGCTTTGCAGCGACTCTGGACTAGCAGGAGGAAAGGGGGGCGGCTACTGAGATCGCCTCCGAGGGTCGAGGGTTGTGGACCCCAACTGGTTAAGGTCCCGCCCTCCAGACGGGACGTGCAGCTGGGCGTCTCGCGTGCATGCTTCCGTTCCTTGCAGTTTATCCAGAATCTTGCAGGCCGCGGCCACCTCTGACATCTGCGTTTCCTGGCCACCAGGTACCTGCCTGGATGACAGCTGGATCCAACCTCGACACTTGACCCCCTCGTCCCCAAAGGACGTCCAGGTTGAGGTGCGGGTGGCCCGCACCCAGGATGGAGACCGAGTCCCCGTGGTTCACATCCAGTGGGCACTGCAGACGGATGGTGAGCGGGCCTGTCCACGGGACCGGGGGTCCCTGCCCCTCCAGGGGCACCCACAGCTGGACCAGCCGGCTGCCCCCCTCAGACTCAGAGTCAGGCTCCCCGTCCTGTGCTCAGACACAAGGGCCCCGATTGAGAGCTGAACATACCCTGCATGTCACGCAGCGAACACTTTCTCGCTGTTTCAGAGACCAGACTCGACCAGGTGTTCCCGTCCCGCCACTGTCTGTGACAGGCCTCCCCTCAGCCGGGCGTCTTTGCGTCCCTGGGGAAAAGGCCGCGCGGTGAATATTTACTGCAGCACTAAGTGTTTATGGGGAAATAGTCCCACGTTTGCCAGTCTGCTTTGCCCTTTAATCTAGGGGCTGCTGTCCCCTGAAGCGACACCCCCAAACCTCTTGGGGGTAGGCGGTTGCAGCCCGGGTGGGCTGGGGGGGGGGCTTTTCTTTCTGTGGCCCCAGCTGCTGCTGCTGCTGCTCTTGCTGCTGTTGTGACAGCGTCTTCCAGGACGGTGGCCACCACGTTCGGCCCCCAGGCCCTGTGGCCAACGCCCCAGCCCCAGACTTGCAAAGCCCTTGCTCCCAGCCCAGTGTGGGTGCTGCTGGTCCCTGCCTTGCCGGGAAGTAACCTCTGCAGGGCAGGCGGCAGCCTGCGTAGGCCCAGGAGCTGGGAGGAGCAGGAAGTGGAGGGTTGGGTAAGACACAGATGTTCTTACCCCAGAGGGAAGTGACACACCCAGTGACTGGTCTAGTTCGCCTGCAACTGTCTCCCCTCCTTACCCCCCACTCCCACCCCCACTGCAGCCAGCATCCTCTCCTTGGAGGGGGTGGAGCTCTCTGTCCTGCAGCTGACCACCAACGAGCGGCTGTGTGTCAAGTTTGAGTTTCTCTCCAAGCTGCAGCATCATCGCAAGCCGGTAAGAGTTGAGCTTCTGGGCACGTTTTGGGGAACTTCCCAGTTGAGCGCAAGCCCTGCGTTCCTTTCCTGCCTTCCTTGGTGAGTCACTGCAGGAAGTGGAGGGGGCAGCGGACTTCCCCGGTGCACCCCCAGCCCCCTTTATCTGTAACCGAGAGTGATTGGAGCTGGGCCCCGCCCCCCCCCCCGCCCCGCAACGAAGGGACCTGATGTGTCCGGACCGAAGGACCAGAGCGGGCAGGCCACCGGCTTGTGAGCTCTGCACAACTTTGGCTCCAAGCAATTCTGATGCCGGTTTGAAAATGCTCATTTAGATCTCCCGCAAACACAGACGCCTGCCCGTGTTTAATCGGGGACCCCAGACTCGAGTGCCGGGTGCATGGTGAGGACCAGGTGCTCTGAAGAGATCCCTGGCTCTCCCACTGGAGGTGGGGGTGTTACTGAACACAGTTTTTAGCTGCCTCCCGGGAGCCAGCTCTCCCGTGGCCCCCAGTCCTGGCCCGGCCCCCTGACGCCTCTGTTCCGCACTTCGAGGGGCCGGTGGGGGCCGAGGGCTCGCCCCTGAGTCTCCTGGGTGGGATCCAGGTGCTTTGACGTAGGCAGGAAGGACCAGGGGAGATGGAGCCCAGATACAGGAGTCTCTGGTTTTGGATCTTGTGATGGTTATGCCTCCTGCTTCACTGAACTTTGGGGGTGGGGGGTGGGTGCTTTGGGCGCAGCTGCACGGGAGGCGCGGCGGGCGACCTGCCCGACACGCCATTCCACCCTTGTCCTCAGTGGCGCTTCGCCTTCAGCCACTTCGTGGTGGAGCCCGGCCGGGAGTACGAGGTGACCGTCCACCACCTGCCCAAGCCCATCCCGGACGGGGACCCGAACCACCAGTCCAGGACCCTCCTCGTGCCGAGTGAGTGCGCCCTGCCCTTCACCACACGGGGCTGGCCCTGGGCTCCGGGGACCTCCGGCCGACAGCCGCGGTCTGGTCCTGGAGCTTGCCTGGAAGGAGCCGTCCTCTAACGGGCTCCCCGGAAGGAAGAGGTGGCGACCTCAGGGGTCCGCAGCTGGGAAGGAGAGCGAGCTCGATGAGACAGGGGCCTGACGCTCTCCCTCCTTCTGGGCCTGCAGACTGCGACAACCGCGCCATGAAGGAAACCAGGCCGTGCGTGAGCGCAGGTGAGCGCGGCCAGGGCCCTGCCAGGGGAGCCTCCTCAGGGGCACGCGGGCCCCGCCTCACGCCCGCCCGTGTCTGTGCCCGGGGCAGGCAGCCTGTGGGAGCCCGACATCGCCCTGCGCCTCCTGGAAGCCCCCCAGCAGCTGCAGGTCAGCTTCGCCCCGTGGAACGAGTCCGCCCGCTACCAGGTCCTGCTGGAGAGCTTCCGGCGAGACGACAATGAGACGTGTTTCCAGCGCACGGTGGACATACCTGCGGTAACGCTGCCCCCGCCCACACCCCGACATGGCTCAGAGCCGCCTCTCGGCCCCTCACTGGTCCCCACAGAGCTGTGTGCGCCGGGAGCGTGGCACCTGGCGGGCGCTGAGCCCTTTTTCCTGCATGTAGGGCGTGGTTGACACGAAGTTGTTCTGTGGTTGAGGTTTCCGTTGGCCCTTGCTGTCTCTAGCGACAGAGTGCAGCTGGTCTCTGCCCTGCTCGGCAGCCCTGTCTTTGTTTGTTTGCTTTTAAACCCTCACCCGAGGACAGCCCCACTGATGTCGGGGTGGGGGGGGGAGACAGAGGGGAACGTCAGTGTGACAGGGACGCATGGATCGGTTGCCTCCCGTACACGCCCCGACTGGGGATCAAACTCGCAACCCAGGCCTGTGCCCTGGCTGGGAATCGAACTCGTAACCCTTCAGTTAACGGGACAACACTCCAACCCACGGAGCCACCCAACTAGGGCCTGTTCACCCTTCCCTGGCACACTTCCTCCCCTCTGTTCTCTTCTCGTTGGGCTTTGCTGACTCAGTTTATTCCAAAAAGGATTGGAGGACGTGAGAAGTGTTGAAATGCGGAGGAAGGGTAACTGAGGGTGAGGCAGGCAGGTGAAGCCGGGGCACGATGAACACCAGAATCAGGGCCACGCCGCAGGGGGTGGGCACAGGTCTGTCCCCACGAGCCCCCGCACCCTCAGCCGACAGGGAGGTGCCGGGCACTGGCTGTGTCCCGAGTTCCCAGCGGGCCCAGGCACCGGGGAAATGTAGTTTTGTGGGCCCAGAATCCGGAAGGTGTGGGTCCTGGCCATCCCGGGGCGCCCCGACACCCCCACCTCGAGCCTCCCCTCTGCTTCCTCCACAGCCCACGGCGGAGGCCCTCCACCAGCGGGCCAACCTCACGTTCCTGCTGCCCAACGCCGACTGGTGCTGCCGCCACCAGCTGAAGGTGGGTGGCTGGTGCGGGGGGGTCGTGCACAGGGGGCACTCCTCCCGTGGGGACCGGGGACGGGAGGAGGACAGCCCCTGGCGGGCGCTCGTCCTGAGGACCCCACGCCTCCCCTGGGCGTGGGTGCCCACCCCACAGCCGAGGTCCAGCGCTCGGCTGCTGGGGGAGCCCCAGCCTCCCAGCGTCCCCTGTCCCCTTGCTCTCAGATCCAGCCCTTCTTCAGCAGCTGCCTGAACGACTGCGACAGACGGATCGCGAACGTCAGCTGCCCCCCGACCGTGGACCCTCCAGGTAGGAGGCGCAGGGCCGTCCCGGGACTCGCTGGGGCTGGGAATGGGTGACGGTCAGCAGCTTGTGTTGGACCCCGACCTGGCCCGGGGGGCAGGGACAGAGTCCAGCTGGGGTCATTCAGGCCTGTGATGCAGGGCTTCAGAGAGACACCCCACCCAGTGGGACTCCAGAATGCCGTCTCGGCCACGTAGCCTCGGGCAAAGGGGCCGCCTGTCTGACCTCAGCCTCCGTGGCTGGGGATGGGGTTGTCACGCCCCCCACACAGGACAGGGTGCTGTAGCACGTCATCGTTCTTAAGGGGTTTATTTTAAAGATTTCCTTTATTCACTTAGAGGGGAAGGGAGGGAGAAAGAGAGGGAGAGAAGCATCAATGTGTGGTTGCCTCTCGCACGCCCCCTACTGGGGACCTGGCCCACAACCCAGGCCTGTGCCCTGACTGGGAGTCGAACCGGCGACCCTTTGGTTCTCAGGCCAGTGGCACTCAGTCCACTGAGCCACACCAGCCAGGGCCACATTTTTGCTTTTAATCCTTACAAGTTGGGAACCATTGTACCAGGATGGTGAGACTCCCTCCCCTGGGTTCACGGATGAAGAAACTGAGGCTCAGAGATGTTGTGACCCTCCCAAGGTCATGCCCTGGGGCGGCAGCAGAGCGGGTCCACAGGCCCCTGCAGCCTAACCGTGGCTCCGCCCACCCTGAGCCGGAAGCAGCAGGCGCAGCCCAGCCTCCCAGCTGGGTGGTGGGAGCCACTCAGCGGACCAAGACCCAGGTGGTCCACGTGGCTGGTTCCATTGAGCATGCCCCGTACCCCCAGGGCTCCCTGTCAGGCCGCAGCCATCCACAGGCCCTCAGTGGGGGTCGGTGACAGTCTGGGGACCCTGCACATAAGTGAATACCATTTCCTTTTGCTCTCATTGCAGGCCCGGTTGCAGGTAAGGCCAAAACTCCTTCCCAGCGTGTGCCATGGGGGGCCCAAGGGGGCCTTCCTTAGGGGCCACATGAGAAGCCCCCGACTGAGTCTTGTGTGGAGCCAGGCGCCCAAGGTTGAACCAACAGGCCTGCCCGGGGCTGGGTGAGGCCACCGGCATGTCATGGTGCAGGCCGGGCCTCAGGGCGGGGGGCCTCGGGGCGGGGGGCCTCGGGGCTGGCACCACAGGCCTCCCAGCCACACCTCGCGCTGCTCCGCTCCCGCAGACTACGTGCCCCTGTGGGTGTACGTGTTCATCACGGGCGTCGCCATCTCGCTGGTGGGCTCCGCCATCCTGCTGACCCTCTGCATGACCTGGAGGCTGTCGGGTAAGGGGCTGGGTAAGGGCCCAGACAGGGTTTTCTTAGGACAAAGAAATAAACAGGTGTCGGTCCCCCTCCGCGCTGCCGCTCTCTCCGGCCGGGTTCCAGGTTCCAGGTTCCAGGCAGGAGAGGGCGTGGGTCTGTGGTCGGGCGCCCGGCCCCGCCCTGCCCGCTAGCGCCCTGGGCACCTCTTCTGTTGATGCGGGAGGCCGCCTGCACCCGGCAGGGCTCTCAGGGTTCGGTCTTGGTCCGTGTTTACTGCCGGGGTGGGGGGGGGTGGACCGCGACCCCAGCCCAGGAGCCCTGCGGGGAGGGTCTTTCTCCAGAGGACGGTGGGCTGGTTGAGGGAGTTCAGGTCTCCGTGAACCACAGGGCACCTGGTAGGCGTCAGGGATGCTTCCATCACCTCTCTGCAGTCGCGCTAGGGACCCGCCCCAAAGTGCCCGCCCACAGTGGGCGAGGGGAAGGACAGGAGCCCCACTGGCCCTGGGAAGGCCCGGGGGCGGGGAGAGGGGACAGGGGAGAGGGAGGGGTTGAAACGGAGGCTTCCCCTGCACCTGGTGGTGCCGTCTGCTTTGTGGCTCTGAGGGGAGCCGCTGCTCAGATATGCTGCTCTCCCCTCCTCACCCCCAAACTCCCAGGAGAAGACGTATGGGGTGGGGTGGGAACTCCTTCTAGAGACCCCAGGTTCCTGCTCCCTCTCGGGACACCTCTCGCTCAGGAAGGGTGTTCCCTCCCACGCCTGCAGGGTCTCCGTGCAAGTGGCCAGGTTGTGCAGCGGGGCCCTCCACCTCCACTGGGGGGGGCTGGCTGGGTCCTCGCCCAGAACACCTGTGACCCCTGCCGCCTTTGTGTGTCCGACGGGCTGGGCACGTCACACACACCAGCTCACTGAACACCCCCAACCCATTTCACAGAGGCACAAACTGAGCTTCTGAGGCATTAATAACGTCCCCAGGTCTCAGGGCTCGTCTCAGCCAACCAGGGGTCACCGCTGACTGTCTGATCCCCCAGCTCTGGCTGCTTTCCCTTCTGCGGGGCCCTGGGGGCAGATGGGGGTGCAGCTCCCCCGTCAGGCGCGGCCGGGGTCCCTGTTTCTCTTCTGAAAGAGCCAGTGCAGTGTCGTTCCTTTCAGGGTCTCGTCGTGAGAAACCGGGTGCCAGGGACCCAGGTCAGTGTTTCCCGGTGTGGGCACGCCGGGGTGGGGGGCAGTTTGGGAAGGCGGACTGGAGGGGTCTCCTGACATACCTGGGTGGGTCTGACTCCTGTGTCTCTTCAGAAGCCTTGCCTTTCGGGGGCCGGCCTTCTGCACCCCCTTGGATGGTGAGGGTGGGGGATGTTGTTTAAGTCCCTCAGACGGGGGAAGGGCAGGCCAGGCGCCTGCCATTCGCTGTGAAAAGAGATTGCCCCTGTAACGTTTCTGTCCCCTGGGCGGGCCTCTGCACCCTTCTCTCCTTTTTAGTAAAGTGCAGGCTGAAGGCCAGATAGAAGTGTGAGGGGCCGAGGAGGCCCCAGGCTGTGATTCTTTCCATGCAGCCAGGACGGGTCACACAGCAACGCCTGGCCCACCCCAGGGCCCGGAGCTGGCCAGCACAGCCTGGTCTGGTCCACCCACGGGCCGTGGTGGGAGCGTCTGCCGGAATACACCTGAACCCGGGGCTGGGCTTGCTTTTCCCCCAGATGCCGTGCCCACTGCCGGCCTGACGCCACCTCCCCTGAAGCCCCGGAAGGTCTGGATCGTCTACTCGGCCGACCACCCCCTCTACGTGGACGTGGTCCTGAAGTTCGCCCAGTTCCTGCTCACCGTCTGCAGCACTGAAGTGGCCCTTGACCTGCTGGAGGAGCAGGTCATCGCGGAGATGGGGGTCATGACCTGGGTGGGCCGCCAGAAGCAGGAGATGGTGGACAGCAACTCCAAGATCATCATCCTGTGCTCCCGAGGCACCCGGGCCAAGTGGCAGGCCATCCTCGGCTGGGAGGAGCCTGCCGTCCAGCTCCGCTGTGACCACCAGAGGCTCGCCGGGGACCTCTTCACCGCGGCCATGAACATGATCCTGCCGGACTTCGAGAAGCCGGCCTGCTTCGGCACCTACGTCATCTGCTACTTCAGTGGCATCAGCAGCAAGGACGACGTCCCCGACCTCTTCCACATCATGCCCAGGTACCCGCTCATGGACAAGTTCGAGGAGGTGTACTTCCGGATCCAGGACCTGGAGATGTTCGAGCCGGGCCGGATGCACCGCGTAGGGGAGCTCACGGGGGACAACTACCTGCAGAGCCCCAGCGGCCGGCAGCTCCGGCAGGCCGTGGACCGGTTCCGCGAGTGGCAGGCACAGTGCCCCGACTGGTTCGAGCGCCAGAACCTCTGCTCGGCAGCCGACCAGGACCTCCAGTCCCTGGACGAAGAGGTGTTTGAAGAGCCGCTGCTGCCGCCGGGACACGGGATCAAGAAGCAGATGCCGCTGGTGCGGGAGCCCACTGCGGAGGACGGCCTGGCGGTGGAGCTGCTCCTGACCGAGGAGGGCGGGCAGGTGGCCCGGCTGCACCCCCGGCATCAGCCCCAGGGGCAGCTGGTGGCGCAGAGCCTGCAGACCACGGTGCTGGCCCTGGAAGCGGCCCCTCCCGCTCAGGCTCTGGAGCCTGTCTCGCCTGCTGTGCTCAGGAGCAGCGTAGCCACTCAGGTGGCCGTTGTGGAGGGGGGTGAGGCCTGCCCACTGCTGGAGGGTTCTGGCCCCCAGCGGAACAGTGTCCTCTTCCTCCCGGTGGACCTGGAGGACGCTCCTCTCTGCAGCACCCCGAGGGCGCTGTCGGACGACCTCCCCGGGGCCGTAAGGGAGAAGCTCGAAGGCTTGATGCTCTCGCTCTTCCAGCAGAGCCTGAGCGACCAGGCCCCTGAGGTCTGGGGGCGGCCGGCGCCAGCCCTCCAAGAGCTACACACGCCCTATGGGGAGGGGCAGCGGGAGTCGGTGCAGTCTGACCAGGGCTACATCTCCAGAAGCTCCCCCCAGCCCCCCGATGGGCTGGTGGAAGTGGAGGAAGAGGAAGCCGGGCAGGACCTGGGACAGTCGGCCAAGCAACTGTCCCTGGAGGCGCTGGAGAGCCTGCGGAGTCTCCAGAGGCGGCTCCTCTTCCAGGAGCTCCGGAAGGACTCGGGCTGGGACAGCATGGAGCCCGAGGGCCCAGTCACATAGGGCCTGCAGACCCAGAGCGCGAGAGGGAGTGTGAGTGCCTGGGTGTGCGCGTGTTTCTGTGTGTATATATGTATATACGTTCCCGTGTGAAATGGCACCTTTCAAATGCAGACATCCTGATTTTGATGCCTAGACAGCCTTCGTCATTTTTCTTTCTGGGGCCGTCTGGTCATCCTCCATCCCCCCAGAAGTCTGCAGCCCATTCCCAGGAGCTGGCGGCAGTGGACTGGAGTCTCCATCGTTCACACATTTGTTCACTGTGGATTTTGTGCCTGCTATGTGCCAGGTGTCCAAGATACAGAGATGAACTGCACCTGTCCTTGGCCCTGGCCGCTCAGGAGCAGGTCTGCAAACACAGGTGGTGTGCAAGCTGTGAAGGCCCGACCGAGGCCTGCCCGGGGCCAGGGAAACACAGAAGGGGACCCTGGCCCAGGGCGCAGTCCTGGGGGGGTGATGGGTGAGCCAAAAAGGAGGCTACTTCCCTGGGCCGGCAGGGAGCTTGTGCTTGGAGGAGGCACCGGTGCTGAGGAGGGAGGGGCCTGCCCCCTGCAGGCTGCGCACTGAGCCTGGGGAGCCGTGGTGGAGAGTCAGCCACAGTCCAGGCTGGGCACTGGGCCATCAGCCCGAAGGCCTGGCGCTCCTTGGATATGATGAGCTGTTGCCTTGCAGAGGTGGCGGCTGAGGGCCAAGCATAGCTGGGAGCCACCTCAGGTCATCTTGGAAAGAGGAGAGACCTGCCAAGTGAAAGTGAACAGCATTCATCAAGGAGAAGGGCCCGATGTCCTGAGCCCCTTCCCCCCTACCTCCTGCCCCACACTGGGTCCAGCAGCAAAGCGAACTGAGTGTGAGCTATGGAGGGTCCACATGGGGCGGTGGGAGGGCAGTGAGGCTCTAGAGGGTCAGGCCCTTTGTGGGCGGAGGGGGGGTTGCCGTGCTGATCTTATTACAGGTATGAGGTTCAAAGGCAACATTGGAGGAGAGACGCTAAGGCCAGTGCGTGAGGTTCCTGGGAGAGCACCCTGGGATGCCGTCTGGCCCTGCAGCCGAGGGTGTGCTGCTGCCTATACCTGAGCGCTAACCTGCCGCTTTGAGTGTTACGGGGGGAGGACTGTGAGACGTGATGGGAAGCAGGCATCTTGGCTGCATGTGTGTGTGCGTGAAAGGGATGACCAATAAAAGGATGAACACATTTAACTCTGGGAAGCCTGCCTGGTCGTTATTTGTGAGTCACACGATCCCGAAGGTCAAGAAGCTCCTCGCCGGGGAGTCCTCTCTGGCAGTGAGTAACACAGGGGGCAGCAGGACCACCGGGACAGGCCCAGCCAGTGTCTAGTCCCGACCCAGCCCCAAAGCCGCAAAGGACCTGTGGGGGAGGGGTGCCACAGATGGGGCGCCTGTGTCCCCTCAAAGTCCTTAAGTTGGAATCCTAACCCCCAGGCGAGGGGTTAGGGCCACTATGAGAGACTCTGGAGAGCTCCCCCCGCACCTCGCTGCCATTTGAGAGCACAGCGAGGTGGTCACCTGGCACCAGGCTCTCACCGGACACCGCATCTGCTCAGCATTGACCTGGGACTGCCCAGCCTCCGGGACTTGGGCAAACAAATGTTTGCGGTTTACACACAACCTGCCTGGTCTGCGGGACTGTCACGGCAGAGTGAGGGAGTGAGGGAAGAAAGCCACCGAGTCCTCCCAGCCTCTCGGGGGCCATCTCTTCAGTGCCCACGATCGGGAGGTGGGCCTGCTTGTGTCAGGACACCCTCCACGCTCTCCACGACTGAGCGCTCACTAGACGTCCGCCCTGTGGCCACCACGCTGGACACGGCCCTCCCGGAGCAGGGCTCCGCCTGAGAGCAGCATGTGGGTCCCGGTGCCCAGGAGCGCCCTGGCATCGGCGCCGTGTCCCCCACAAACCCTGCGTTCTGGCTTTGCTGCCTCTGTTGCCCACTCTGTCCCCTTTACGCGTGGGGTGGCTGCTTTTTCCCCTCCCAGCCTAATCCGTGAGCTGTGCAAGTCACCCACTACGCAATCCAAAACTGGCCCCGCGCAGTCCAGTGGCTTCTAGGAGTTCAGAGTTCAGCGATCGCCAGCAGAACAGATTCTAGAACACTTTCTTACCCAAATAGAAGCATGGCACCCCTTAACAATTACCCCCAAGCCCCCTACCCCGCCCCTAGGCAACCACGCATCGCCGCTCCCTCCGCGGAGGGCCTGCCGTGGACGCGTCGTCTGTACAGGGATCGTGAGGTTCGGCAGGCGGCCTGACCCTCTCTCTCTTCACTGCCATTCCTCCGCTGCTTCCCTGTCCCCGGAGCCCCCAAATCTCGCACTGGTCACTCTGGGGCTGGAAATTCTGCCGGAGTGCGGTGCCTGCCGTCAGCCAAGTGCCAAGGGGTGCCCGGCACGCACGAAGCCCCCCAGGTCTTCTATCTCATCACATCGCTCTGCACCAGGGCTGGCGGGCTCCCGCTCCTCCCCGAAGAGCCCCCCCAAGAAGCAGGCCCCGCGACCTGCCGCCCTCCCGGCTCACCCCGCGGTTTTAACCCGGACGCTCTTTCTGCCCGGACGCTCCTCCGTGGGGTTTGCGTCCTGAGGGCTTCGCTCCGCCACCGAGACGCCCGCTGCCTCACTGGAGCGGGTCTCCCAACCCCGGGAGACGGGACGTCCGTCCGCGCTTCCCGCCGGGCTCTGCAGACTAAACCGAGCCGCGCGAGGGCGAGTTCCGGTCTCCTCCCGCCCGCACGCGCGAGGGCGGGGCCGCCGCCTCCTGAGACCCCCTGCAGGGGCGCCCACGGCCCGGAACTCGGAGAGACTCGCAGAGCTGGCGGTCCAGCCCAGGCGGTCGCGTCGGCCCTGTCGGGCGTTTTCCTAAAAAGAGGCTGAGCGCGCGCAGCCCAAGGTGGGCGCCTGGCTCTGCTGCTGGCCGGCCGAGCGGCTGGGGTCGGTTATCCTCCGCAGGCCGGTCGGCCGGCCGGGGGTGCTGATCCTGGGCCCCGGCTCAACGCCGACAGGAACCCCCGACTTGCGGTGTGAAGAGGAAACTGCTCGGGGCAGCGCGGCTCGAACGTGGCGGGCGACCTGGCTCCCCGCAGACAGCGCCCACCCGCCGCTGCGCTTCAGGGTGTCCGCTGCCTCCGCGCACTCCAATCCTTGAAGCCCGATTGGTCCAAAAAGGCCGTGTCCTGATTGGTCAGAATGGACACTCCCTGACTGATTGGACGGGGAAAGCCTCACTCCCATTGGCTGAAACGGAATCCCAGGCGCTCCTCTGCAAGGGCCGCTGAGAAGGCAGGAACCCAGGGCGGGCTTCTCCCCAGTGCGGTTTCCTCGTGAGGCCCCTCCGCAGGAATGGTTGCTAGGCTCCTGTGGGGAGTTGTTGTTGTTGTTGTTGTTGTTGTTGTTGTTGTTTTCAACTTAAGCCCAGTTAGCTACCTACCAGGAGACCATCTTAGGGGTCTTCTTGCTCAGGGCTCACAGGCCTCACCTTGCTTGTCTGGACAATGGGCACAGCAGGAATTCCTGCCTCTCCGGGGCCCTGTGAGGAGTGGATGAAGCACACCTGGAAGCACCCGGGAAACAGTCCACACGCTACAGCTGTGAGTGGGTCCAAGTGTTCCCGCTCCTCCCGCCCCAGCCCCACCCACTGCTGCCTTTGCAAGAGGCCAGGGGCCGCCTCGGTCTCCTGCCCCCGCACGGAGCAGCGCTGAGACCTGAGTCTGGGTCAGAGTGGCTCGTGAAGCCTCAGCTGTGTACCCCGCCTCGTTCCCTGCTGTCTCCACTTTCCCCGTCAATGACAAAAGTCACGTGCGATCGATCCAACACTTGGCGTGAATTGAGAGCTCAATACACATGTTGTCTGAGTGAATGAGCTCATTTTCGGAAAATTAAAACAATATGGATTCTATAGATTATAGGTTATGGGAGAATACAAAATAAAGCAACAGCCCCAGCCTGCGGGGACAGGCTGTGAAGGCGGGGTGCCCCGCTGCCTCCGGCTCCGTGCCTCCCACCTCATTCCCCAGCGGCTTCCAGGCCCCTCTCCTTCCTTTGGCCTCTCCCCAGCTCCGCAGGCCCTGCTGCCTCGCCCAGACCTGGGCACCGGGCCCACTCTCGTGTCCCGTCCGTCCCGGCTGGCTCAGGCAGGCGGGCACCCTGCTGGAGGCACTCGGAGCCCCCTCTCTCAGGACCTGAAGGGTGCGAGAAGTGGTGTCCAACAGGCCTTCTCCCCACCCGGTACCCAGATGCCTGTCCTGGGAGGAGCAGCCCCTTGGGTGTTCACACTTCAGTATCAGTTAGCTCACTGGATCTGCCTTTCGGACGGAGAGGAGGGAGATACAACGGTGCCCCGAGAGGACGGGAGGGAGCAGGAAGGAGAAGGGGAGTCCCCACCGGCCGTCGCCCCTTCTGCCGGGACACGGCCTCGGTGTCTGTCTCACTGTCGGCCTTTGCCCAGCACCCCCTGCACGGCGCACACGGGGGACGTGAAAGCCCGCCCCTGCTCTTTAGCCAGAAGCTCCCCACTTCGGCGAAGGCTGCACTGAACCTGTTAGCAGACGTTGGAAGGCTGCCAGGGGTCCAGATTTTGGAAACAGACACACCTGGGTCGGGTCTGGATTCCCTTCCTGACCACAGCGTGGCCTTCAGCAAGCGTCTCCATCTTTCCAGACCTGGTGACAATGCACATAAAGCTACTTTGAAGTGGCTGTGAGGATGGCATGAGCCAGGGTGCACCAAGGGCCAGACACAGCCCAGCCCAGGATGTAATTCCGTGCTCATCCCGAGGGCTGGAGCTGCAGGCTCTGCCCCGGTCCCCCCAGCAAGGCCTGAGGGTGGCCCCAGCATGACCCACGCATCCCTGGATCACGCCTAGAGTTCTTCATCACCTTTCACAAGGCGCCTTCCTAGACACTCCAGCTGGCCAAGGTCGGTGCAAGCTAGCTAGTTTGCTTAACTATGAGAAATGTAGAGATGTTTATGAAATGCGTAGTTAAATTAACCATCTCACTCTACATCTAGATCTAGGAAGAAACGAAAGCACGGTCTTAAGCGGTTCTGTAATCATTTCCCGTGTAAATTTTGTTCCCTTGTCACGATGATAAATGTCTTGAGGAAGAGGACCGTGTTGGCCTGTGTCGCCTCCTGTCATTCTCGCCATGGCCCGGGCAGGTGGGCCACGCCGCTCCTGTTTCACACGGGAGGAAAACGTCCCGGGAGGTCAGAGGGGGGCTCAAAGCCCCCGCAGGCGGAGGCAAAGCCAGCCTGCGACCAGGCGCTGACGGTGCCGACCTTGGGACGGCCAGAAGCCTCGCAGGGCAGGAACACGGAGCGGGTCGAATGGTGCTGGCTGCCTCTGTGCTGAAGACAAATGCATATGCGTACACCAGACTTTATTTCTGTGCAGAATCAGTGCTCTGACTTAGACTCACAGTTCCCTTCGTGTTGAAATAACAATAAAACAAAACAAAACCCCACGGCCTTGTGCTTCTCATTCACACATAAGAATTCATGCTTCTGAAGGCGCAAGAGCAATAGAGGAGTTCAGGGTATTTAAAAACTAGTTCTCAGCCCTGGCTGACGTGGCTCCGTGGGTCGACTGAGCACCAGACTGGGAATCAAAGGGTCGCGTGCCTCGGTTGTGGGCCAGGTCCCCAGTAGGGGGCGCACAAGAGGTGACTACACAGTTATGTCTCTCTCCCTCTCTCCTTTCCTTCCCCTCTCTAAAAATAAATAAATGAAATTAAAAAAAATTAGTTCTCAGTCTTTCCCCCTTTGGTAAGTTATTTTTAGAAAGAAATGCGAGCGAAAGTTCCGGGTGGCTGGGGGATCTGCAGCTGCATCTTCGATCACTCCGCCTACAGAAAGCCTGGCTAGACCGGCCCCCCCGCCAGGTCACGACCTCAGCCGCACGGCCTCCCCGAGTAGCCGGCCGCTCCCTGGAAGGAAGTAGCCGCGGTGCGCCATCGTGTTAACACAATATATAATAAAGTGGTGACAAATGTCACAGTGACATTTAAGAATTTAGTAAGGGAACCAGGACAGGAAAGATCTTAAAACAGACCACACAGGAAGCTTGTCACAACTCTCAAGTTTTTTATTTTCAGAACAGAAGCTGGTTTTATTTTTAAAAAGAGAAGGGGAGAAAAATGTGATAAATGCTAGTGAGGTGCCACTTCCCCCTTGCAGGCTCAGACTGCCAGGCAGCTCTTACCCCAAACCCATGAGCTCACAGTCAGGACGTGTCCTGTGTCCTGTGTCCTGTCGGGGCGGCCTCAGAGGGGTCTGGTCAGCGCCTCCCAGAAACAGGTGCGGAGGTGGCGGCCCGGAGCAGGACGTGCCAACGTGAGCACGTGGTAGAGGCAGGCGGTCCGGGCTCTGGAGCGGCTCCTGTCTGTGGGCTGTGCTTCTGGCGGCAGCCTCAGGAGACAGTGCGCCCCTGCTTCCTGACCCCTGGGGACACCTCCAGTTCGACCCCCACTCTACAGGTGCCCCTAGGAGGCAAGAAAAACGAAGCTGTAGGGGTCGTTTCCTCTTGTGATTCAGGCAAGGGAAGTAAGTAAAAGAACTCAAGGAAAACACAGCAGAAGAAGGGAGGGAGGGCCTGACCCCCCGAGCACGAGGCAGCCGCACCAAACGCTTGGCAGACAAATCTCCCCGGTTGCCATCGGTTTCCCGACATCCCTAGGGAAGGGGCAGCTCCTGGGAACCTGTCACAGCCTCTCTCTCCTCAGGAAGCCCAGCAGCACCCCGAAGTGAGGCCGCTGTCCCAACAGCACAACGGGGGTGGGGCTCGGACGCCACGTCCTTCCCTGTCACGGGCACCAGGCAGCAGAGAGACAGCGGGGCCGGAAGGAGGATCTGGAAACGTACAGAGCAGCTAGGAGCCCCCCAGGGCCTGGGCCCCCAAACTCGGAGCTCGAGGGATTCCGAGGGAAAGAGGAGCCGGGCAGGAAGGAGAAAAGGCGGGAAACACCCCCATCGCCTGCACGGGGCCGGCGGGGTGCGTGGCCGGAAGCCCAGAGAGTGGTGCCTCGAGGGCAAGTGTTTTCCTCGTGGTTCCCCACGCGAGAGGGCAGGGACCCCCGCCCCCCGAGAGCGCTGGTCAAGCCGTCAGCTCCTCTTGTGGCTCTATTTACATGGATGTCTTTTGTCGACAAGCCCCCCAAAAGTTGGGGGACAGTGGCCCAAGCAAAAGACTGAGGCTCAGAAAGCAAAAATGAGCAACAATCAAAACTAAAATCCGTGACTTTTCTGGCCCTTGGTGTGTCACAGCACCCAGACCTCCCGAGCCTAAGAACCCTAAGAACGGGGGAGGGGAAACAAAAACCCTCGCAACCCCCCTCCCCATCCCGTTGCCAGGTGGAAGAGACTGTTTCCCGGTCCTGCTCCCAGCTGCACACTCCCCTCCCCTGAAAGTACTTATTCTGCCTGTGAGCGTCCAAGGGGGTCCGTGGGCACCCCTGGGTGTCCCTTCACAGCAGCCTCAGCAAGAGGAGCCCCAGGGAGGCGGGCTGGGCAGTGCTGGCTTTGCTGCCCCACCGTTCACAAGCCCCCCTTTTCCCTGGAGATGCTCCTAACCAGGGCAAAGGGCAAGGGTCACCACACTATTTGCAAGGGCAGCTGGGCCCATGGGAGCCCCCACTTCATGTCTGTATAGGAATCCCACCAGAGCTGCTGTTCTGGGCCAGACTCTGGCCCAGCCAGCAACACCCCTCAGGAAGGGAAAGAGATCTGGGTGCAGCGGGGAGGAGGGAGGGAGGAGGGGGGAACCAGTGGCTGATACCCCCAGACCCTGTAATGACCTTGACAGCAAACCCCATTTGGATCCAGGGGCCATGTGGAATGCAACTTCTGGGCAGTTTGTCTTTATTTTTTGCAAGTGGCATCAGTGCATGATGCGACGGAAGTCGAAAGCGTGGAGGTAGAAATGTCTGCCACCCACGAAAGGGTGTGGTTTGGTCCTTAGGGCAAGACCCCTCCCCTCCGGCCGAGCTGGGAAGAGAGGAGTCAGACCGAGGAGATCCTGGGGGAGCTTCTCTCTCGACGAAGAGCCCAGGGCGGCTCCCGGGAACGCATGGCCACGAATCCGGGTGGGGACAGGAGGGTGGTGGCGTGTGTGGCGGGGACGGCAGGGCCTCCCCAGATTCCCTGCCGACTGCAAGGGCCTCCCACAGGGTGGACACCGGAAAACCACACAACGCAGACAGAGGGACGTAGACTTTGCATCTACCACTGGGCAGAAATCCTGCAGAGACATCGGGGGACAGTGGCTTCTGAGTCCACTTCGAGGCATGGGACAATGGCTGCTGACCGCAGCCAGGAAGAAGCTGGCACTTCCGAGCGAGAGGCAAGGCCCAAGGCCCAGCCCCTCGTGCCTGGGCATCTCCCCTCCTCCGTGCCCTCCCCACCGCACGGCGGGTGGGAATGAGGGAATGAGGGTGCCGGTGGAAAGCAAGAAGCAGAGGCACAAGACCCTTGGAGGCTGGGGTCAGGGCCGGGCGTGGGGAAGCGAGAACAGAGAGCGTGGACCTTCCTCCCTCACCATCAGCGGCTGGTCTTCCTCCAAGCCCTCTTGACCCAAGGAGCAGACAGAAGGACGCACCCACCCTTGGCCCTACGAGGGTGACCTCTTCCAAACAGAGCTCCGTGTCATCTGAGTGAGAGAAGGCCAGAGAACGAGGGAGCAGAGGTCTCTAGAGGGAAAAGCGAGAGCCCCGTTATTCCGCTCAACTCTGGGAGGCCACAGCGAGGGTGTTGACATAGCCATGGGCCCCCCCTTCGTTCTCGGAGACGCAGTGACTCAGCTGGGAGCCCCCCTGAGGCTGCGGCGGGGGCGGGGGCGCAGAGGGCGGAGCGCCATAGCCCCCTCGGGCCCGACTGGGGGACGCCCGGCTCCCCGAGTCCCAGCAGCCCTCTAGGGCCTCCAGGCCACGGCATCCGAGGAAGAAGAGGTTCTTGAGCATGAAAATGGAGAGGGGCTGCTGGTAGCTCACCACCAGTAGGCAGCGCAGCGCCAGCAGGGGCACGTCCACCAGGCAGCCGCCCAGCAGGCGCAGGAGGCGGCCGCAGCCGCGCGGCCCCGGGGCCTGGCCCCAGGCGACGTTGAGCTCGTAGAGCCAGAGCACGGGCGAGGAGAGGGTGAGGAAGTAGACGGCGATGAGCAGGTAGCGCAGGTGCGCGGGCAGCGGCACGCGGCCCTCCAGCATCAGCTCCACCAGGGTGAAGCTGTCTAGCAGGTCCAGGCACGTGCCCAGGAAGCAGCCGGCGGCCCGGTGCTGCTGGGGCTGCAGGACCAGGGGGCCCGTGGAGCCCGGCGGGGCGCCCGCCTCGCTGATGGCCCGCACCAGGCTGTAGAGCAGAGGCACCGACAGCGCCATGGTGAGGCGGAAGCCCGTGGTGCCGAAAGGCGCGCGCAGCTCGATGAGGTCGAGGATGGACGTGCCCAGGATGAGCACCACCTTGGGCGTGAAGGCGATGGAGTAGATGAGCCAGGCCAGGTAGGCGAAGGCGAACTCGCCCACTGCTGCTGCCGCCGCCCCCGGGCCGCCCCCGGGGCCTCCGGGGCCCCCGCGGGACCCGCGAGACTTGGCCCCGGCGGAGGCGGCGTGGTGGTGGTGCGAAGGGTGGCTGTGCGCGCCGCCTCGACGGCTCCGACTGTTCTTGGCGAAGAAGATGGCCCAGCCCACCACCACGACCAGGTCGGTGGCGATCCAGGAGCACCAGTACAGGTCGGTGACGGCGATGAGGTACAGGTCCAGCAGCCCTCCCTGCGCCAGCAGCAGCACCACGGACAGCGCCTGGTAGCCCCAGCCGCACCCGGCGCTCTGGCCGCAGCCGGGGCGCCGACCTCTGCGGGCCGGCGGGGCCGGGCGGCCGCAGCAGCAGCAGCAGCGCGAGCAGCAGGAGGCGCCGCTGCCTGTCCCCGTGCCGCCCGCAGCCCCGGCCGCGCGGCCCCCCGCACCCCCGACGCCCCCGGCCGCAGCGCCCCCGCCGAAGTCCGCGGCAGTCATGCTGCTGGAGGAGGTGGGCGTGGACGAGGGGGTGGCGGCGGAGAAGGCGGCGCGCGCGGGGTCCGCGTTCGGGGCGCCCCCCGCGGCCAGGGGCCCCGGGATCCCGGCGGCGGCGGCGGCGGCGGCGGGCACCAGCGGCTTGCTGACACTGACGCTGTCGTCGTCGTCCTCGCGCTCTGCTCCGGTGCTGCTGCTGCTGCTGCTGCTGCTGCTGCTGGCGGGGGAGCCGCCGCCCCCGCCCCGGCTGGCGCTGGCGCTGCTGTCGCCCGAGCCGCTCCCCGCGCGGGGGGCGCCCCCCCGCAGGCACAGGGGCTGCGCCCGGGCCGCTGCTGGGCGAGGCGGGCAGGAGCCGGACGAGGACGAGACCGAGCGGGGGTGGCCGAGCGCCGGGTGCATTGTCCTCCGGGGCCGCCCGCGGCTCCCAGCCCGCCACCCCCGGACTGGCGGGGCGGTCGAGGGAAGCCGGGCCAGCCGCCGCCTCCTCCCCAGCGGCGGGAGCCGGACCAAAGTCGGGCAGCAGGGAGATCCGGACTGGAGCCGCCGGACTGGGCGGGCGAGCGGAGTCCCGGGTGGCTGGGAGCTGGGGCGGCGCTGCGAGGCGGGGGCGCCCGAGCGGGAGGAAGGGCCGCCGGCTGCGGAGAAACCAGGACTGGATCGCGGGGAAGGGGAGGAGGAGCGCGCAGAGGAGGGGAAAGCACGGCTGGCTGGATCAGCCGGAGAAAGGGGGGCGGGAGGTGTCTGGGCGCGAGGAGGGGGAGGCGGCTGTCCCAACGAAGAGGGGCAGAGGCGGGGGCTCAGCGCTGGGGGGGCCTGAAGGGAGCACGAGATTCCTAGAGATGTGGCCACGTGGTCCCCCCCACCCCCCGCAGAAACCCCCGGAGCATTAGTGGTTCCTGACCACAGCCTCCCAGCGCGGGGCCGAGGGGCAGACAGGCTCAGGCCGGCGTCCGGTTCTGCACAGTCCCTGCTGCCGGCAAGGGGGCAGCTTGGGTCCCTCCGCCGCCCGCGCCCACACTACCCGGCGGGCCTGCCTCTCCCGCAGGGTGTCCACCCTACTACGGCCCAGGATGGCTGTGAGGGCGGCCCAACAAAAAAATCACAAATTTACTTAAAACGTGATGAGATTTTGTTGTGATTACATGTCACGATGTACTGAATGTGCGGCCTAAGACAACTCTTCTTCCGGTGTGGCCCGGAGATGCCGAAAGGCTGGACACCCCTGCACGGCGTGGAAAAGCTGAGGGAGGAGGCAGGCCCTGCTGAGGGGCAGGACCGGGAGCGGAGGCGGCGGGCAGGAGTCTGTACAGGTCCCTGCGCCCAGCAGGGCTCCGGGAGCCGCCCAAAGGGAGGCCCACCCCCGACAGCGACTGGTCCTCTGCGTGCAGCTCTGCGGGGACGGAGGGCAGGTTCAATGAGGACATGGCGGCCCCCTACCCATAAGCTCTGGGTTCCTTCTGACTCACCCCTGGACCCGGTCCACATGGGGCTGGAAGGCGGCAGGTGGAGTTATGCCTTTCGGGGTTTAGGGCAGAAGAAATGACCAGAGCAGTTGTGAGCCCCCCAAAATAAAAGGAGGTTCGAGTACAGCACAAGCACCTGAGCCCCGTCAAAGTGCAGCCGGAGGCTCGCCTGCTCCTCTCCCTGCACCGCGGGCTCGGGTCTGCACGGTTGCCAACGGGCTAGGCCGCCTGGACAGCGCGCCCCCCCTCATGGGATGGGGACAACCTGCACTGCAGTGCAGGCAGGGGTCGGGGCTGGGCCGGCCCAGGCCAGGAAGCAGGGGTGATTGCAGGCAGTGTCTTGGCTCCCCCCAGGGGACACCAGCCCACAGCCACCCTGAACCTTGACCCAAGACCTCTGCCCACACTCACGGAGCAGAGGCAGCTGGCAAAGGCACAGGACGGGGCTCCCGAGAAGACACTGACACCCTGTCCCCACTCCCCACCCTGGGCCCCGCCCCGGCCCCTACTCCCACCTGTCAGGAGCCCCCGGAGGACAAGCTGCCTCCCTGGCGGCTCTCAGGGGCCCCTCCCTGTTTTCCTCTGTGCTCCGGGGAGGCGGACAGTCAGTCAGCTGGACCAACTTTCTGCGGGAGATTCCTGAGCCCGGCTCTTCCAGGTCTGAGGCCCTCAGTGAAAACCCCACAGGTGGCCCTGGCTGGGCAGCCGAGTCGGCCGGGGCATCATCCCAACGCACCGAGGTCGCGGGTTCAAGCCTCGCTCAGGGCATACGCAGGAAGCAACCAGTGGAAGCATGCATGGTTGCAGCAACAGAGCCGTGTGTCTCTCCCTCTCTCCTCAATAAAAAAATAAGTAAAGAAAAAAGAAAAAGAAGAAAAGAAGTAAAGAAAAAGGCTGCAGATAAACAGGACGGAGAACAGGGCACACAACCAGGTAAGTCGGTGGTCTGGGCACTCCAGGGATGTCCTCTCACCCCGGGCGTTCCCTGGCGGTCTGTGTGCACACACACAGCTCTGCGTCCGCCTGGGGAGGGCTGGGCGGAGATGTGATGGGGCGAGGCGGAAGACAAAAGATTTCCTTCCGTCTGAAGTGAGTGCAGACACCCCAGAAGGGTCTAGAACGGGGAAGGCACAGTCACTGAGCTCCTCATGAGCTCACTCCAGGTCACACAGCTGGTTTGGGGCCGAGCCGGGGCCTGTTACGTGCGGGGCTCACCTGGAGACCTGACGCCCTCCTTGCCCTGGCACAGAAGGGCCGAGGGTTCACGCCCCCTTGGAGCAGCAGTGGGTGGGCTCGGAGGAAGGAGCACGAGATCCTGGTCACTCAGCAGCAAAGGAAACTCAGAGGAGCAAAGCCAGCCCTTCCCAGCGCTGAGCCGAAGCCCCTCTGGACGGCTCCGTTTTCTCCCTCAGCGCCAGCATCTCTCAGCTTCCCAGCCGGTGAAGAACAGTCCACAGGCGACCGTCAGAGGGTGGGAGGAGCCTCACAGGTGCACCCCGCGGAGTGACAGTAGGGGGGGGTCCCCCTTGCTCGCACACAGTTGCCACAGTGACTCTTGGGACACAAAGGGGGGCCCTCAGGGGGCAGTGCTGGGGGTGGGGCGGGGCTGCGATGCTCTGGGCTGTCAGGACCTGGACCCCCCCACTGAGAACCCTCTGAGGGCAGACCCGCCCCTGCCCCGATTCACAGCTCCTTTGATACCTGGCGCCCAGTCTCGCCCTGAGCTGCTCCACGGCGATGCCGCCAACCACCTGCTTAAAGCAGGGGTGCCCCCAGCATCAGCGCCCCCGGGGCAGTCCCTGGGTGAGGTTTTGGGGTTCCGGAGACTGAAAAAAAGAAGCAAGTCCTTCCCTAGAAGCTCAGACTGGGAGGGAGACAGACTTGTAAACGATAAAGTGTTACGGAAGTTTAGGGCCAAGTATTTGGTGCTATTTGGTGCTATTTGGCTACAGAGTCGACCAGACACCCCTGCCCCCTCCAAAGTGGGGTCCCAGGGCTGCAGGGAGGGGGAGGCCGCTGTGGAAGATGCACGCCAGAAGGCTCCAGTTAGCGTGGGAGGGGGGCGAGTGAGGTTCAAGGCAGACCCCTCTTCTCTGCCTCCCGAAAAAGAAACCATGACATCAGGCTCCTGGAAGCAAGCGCTGGAGGAGCCGGGAAGCAAGCGCTGAAGCTCTGTCACCTCCCCGGCAGCTCACACCCTGCGGCAGTCCTCCCACCTCCGGATCCGACAGAGCTGCTACGAGGGCCCCCCCCCGCCCAAGCGAGGCGCGAGGAGCGGGCGGAGGAGCAGGCGGCCTCGGCAGCCCCACGCGGCAGCAGCAGCCGCGGGGCAGTGACAGAGCGACTGGGGGAGAGTAACTGACAGCCCAGATAGTTTAAAGTGCTGCCGGTTGCTACAGCAACCCTGGCTCTGCCGGGTTCCCAGCCCGCTCCCCGGGCAGCCGAGAGGGGTCCCGTCCCCGGGGGACACCCAGGAAGTGCCCCTGTTCCGGCGCTGTTCAGTGTGACCGCCTGAGAGCATGGCTTTGTTCCCGGTTAGTACTTCCTTGTGAACGAGGGCTTCCTTCCTGTTCAGGTTCGCTCACAAAGTCCTTCTTGTTTCTTGGGCGCTTGGCTCCATCAACACACAGAGAGGTGACATCGTTCATTACTCAGTCCGGGGCTGAGCTCACGGAGCCGCCGGGGGTCTTGGTGCCAGCGGTTCAGATGAGGCCACCACTGCGAGGCGAGCCGGCCCTGAGGTCGGTCCCACCGGGCTGCTCCCCAAGTCGCCATGCTCAGCTTTGTCCCCCACCTCTGCTCTCGGCCTTCCTCGAGTTTGGTAAGCTCGGCTCCTCTGGCCCGCGGAGAGCGCCCGGGCCCTCTCCGCAGCAGTGGCTGCCCCGGGGCTCAGAGGGGGAGGCCGTGGGCTGGGAAGGACGGGACACCTCTCGAGAGAGCCCCGGGATCAGAGCCAGGGCACGAACTTCAGCCCAGGCCAGCCCCTCTGGTGACTGACTTTGAAATGACTCTGAAATGTGACCTCCACGCGACCTCCACGGGGGCAGGCACTGTTGCCACGCTGGTCTCCACTACGGCGCCTAGCAAGGTGCGTGGCACACAAATTTCTCTTTTTAAAAAAGATTTTATTTATTTATTTTCAGACAGAAGGGAAGGGAAAGAGAAAGAGAGGGAGAGAAACATCCATGTGTGGTTGCCTCTTGTGCACCCCCTACTGGGGACCTGGCCCGCAACCCAGGCCTGTGCCTGACTGGGAATCGAACCGGTGACCCTTCTGTTCACTGTTCGGCACCCAATCCACTGAGCCCAGCCAGCCAGGGCACAAGATTTCTACAAACATTTCTACTGAATGCTCTTTGCCCTGACACCCGAGGCCAGGAACGTGGACAGATGAGGGCTCTCCGCCTCCACTGGGGTGCTGTGAGGCTCTAACAAAGCGTGGCTGGACATCTGTTTTAAAATGCTTTGGAAAAGGTCCCCTGAAGAGTGAGTGTCGTCTGGCAAGGCTGTCACCCAGGCCAGTGGCTTCAGGTCACGGACAAGGTGCTTCCGAAGCCAGGGCATCCCCCGGAGGGATCCCAGGTCACTGCCTCTGGGTCCCAGGCACTGGGGCTGTGCTGCCGGCTGCCCACCCACCGCCTGGCCCACCAGCCTCCCTTCTGCGCATGCCTGATCCCGCCCGAGCAGCAGAGTGCCCGCCCTGCCTCCGCGCTGCTCCTGGCACCTGGGGCCCAGCTGGAACCAATCGCCTAGAACTGCAAGTCCGCAGGTGGAACTTATGGAAAGTTCTTTCAAAGACCTTTGCCCCTTCTCCTCCCCCTTGGAGTGTGGGTGAGGCCTGAAGGTGGACCGATGCGTCTTGCACCCGGACGGACACTCGCACTGAGGACGGTGGCGACCAAGGGACCCCTGACCCGGCGCCGAGCCACGCCCCCA